CCCGCACGCTGATTCTAGAAACTATAACACCATAAGACTTGATGGGTGGGGTAAAATCAAAATTGTAAATGAAAATATGAAAATATGAAAAGGCGCTACAGAAAATCAAAAACGAAAAAAGTTAATTTTTCATTGCTTTATCTCAGGACCAATTTATCAACCATCTCTGAACAAGTGTTATCGATGAGAAAGCACGTTCGATGGGCACAAAAGTACGGAATGGTACTGGTCCTTCACATACGAGGGACCGAAGCCGAGAAGACCGCATTTAAAGTGCTAGAGGAGGTGATATTCCCACAACTTTTTTGTGATTATCAAAAAACGAGCGATTTTTTTAAGGAATTGAAAGAAGGAGAGGGGTCAATCACTCTCCACTGGCATTGTTTCCTCTTTGGAGTGGAAATTGTCAAAAAATGGCGTGAGCGTTTCGTAAACGTTTTTTTTGGTAACGCTTGAGTTAACTCTCGCACGAAAGAAGGGATTTTATTCTAGGCATCAATCCGAAATGCGCTCACATACAGATCGCTAAAGAGGCTATACGAAGCATTCCCCCGGGCAAATTGCTCCCGGAAACGGACAGCCCGTACCTGGTGGCGGATGAGTTCCGTAGAAAACGCTCATTCTCTATCCCTAGCGACGGTGAGTCACAGTAGCCAACTTATAAAAAGATTATAAGTTGATAAAAATAGTTTTAAAATTATGCAAAAATGCGCGATTCTTTAAAAACTATTTATATTTCTCGAAACGACTCTCAACTAAAATGAATGGGCAGGGAATCCTTTTCCGTAAAAGTTTTCCACAAGTTGACGCTCTTTGAGATTATATTGGTAGTACTAGGATTTGAAAGAAAAAATGGGAGAAGAGGTGATAATCAGAAGAAGCTAGGTCAGGGGGTATGGTGGGTGGTAAAACATGCTATTCCTACGTCTCCAGTTCAGCCTTGGTCGATCGAGTTATGTGTAGTCGAGCGTTGTCATGTTGGAAGTAGAGAACGGCCTGATTCCCGCGTTTTCGACACCGAGTCTCAACCGCAGTTGGCCATGTCGGGTTGACGTTGTTGTGCTCACTTTTGGTAGGTCCCAGAACTCCACGCCTCAACCGACCACCAGATCGACAGCATGGCCTTTTCGCGTGTGGATCCGGTTTAACGACGTCTTCTGTCTTTCCATCTTTGTCTACTCACTGGGGACGGTGGGGATCATCTGGAGGACCCACTTTTCATCTCAGTGAGGTTGTCCAGCCATCCGTGCGTTCTGTGGAGGGTGAAGAAAAAGCCATGTCGACTGCAATCCTCATGCAGTCGGTCAATTAGGGGTATATCGGCCCATATTTTAGATCTTTCCATTTTCATTTCTTTTTAGATAATGGTATGGCTCCCCCAGTGTGGCTCCCAATTCCCAGGTGGCTACATAAGGATCAGCTTCAGTTTGGATGCGCAGCAGGTCCAGATCCAACTTGGACGGCCGACCGACCTCTCCCCTTCCGTCATGGAAGAAGCCCTTTCGAGAACTTGTTGAACCAAAGGCTGATGGCGCTTTGAGAGGGCTCATGCTCTTTGTATGCGTACTTGATAAGACGTTCGGTGTCAGATTGATCGCTGCCAGAAACGGACAAAAACAGAAATTCGCTCCGCAGCAATTTTAAAATTTTTTTGTCTCAAAATATTTGTTTTCCACTCAATGGTCGCTATCGAAAATTAAAAAAACGTGCCAACAACATGGAACTAGGTTAAAAACTCGAACAAAAAAAAAGCAGTTTTCGTTTTTCGCACGAAATTATTGCGCTTTTACGAAAACATCAAACACGAAAATGGAAAAACTAGTGCATTTCATCATCGCAAAGGGCGGGACTTTGCTGTCTCTACCTGTTCATTGGAGAAGAGTACAGAGGTGGACATAATTGTGCACGGACTTCAAAATATATATCTTATAGTCAAAAGTATTTCAGATAAAGTTTATAACATATTTTTCAATTTAGTCGTCGTTCTTGGGAGAAAAAGCTGGTATGACTCTCAGATTTGAGAGAGGCTTCATGCAGGTCTTTGTCTTCGATTATTGTCAGAAAGAATATTCCAATAGCACGTCTACTTCTGAATGAGAAACCTTTTGAAACTGCTCGGCTTATTTTTTGCTACTTGATAGCCTCGGGCCAGTTCACAGGAATTCTGGAGACTGGGTACCTCTCAGACGTTGAAGCGCTTCTTCTCCAAGAGCACCTGAATGTAGTTGAGAAGTTCCGCGTTTTTCACAAAGTTTCTCACTTCGCTCAAGAATGTTCATTGCTATAGTCAATGTTTCCCGACTCGAAAAGCTAAGGAGGCGGGGCAAGGCGCGGGACGAGTAGCGTGTGCGTATACGGTTCTTGGCACGAGTTCAATTCAATCGCCGCCGACTATTTGAAAAGCTCGGCAACCGCTCTTTTACAATGTGTTCTATTACTGTTTGATGCGCACATGAACATAATCAATGAATAATTGAAAAAGGAATGAAAAGAGTGAAAAACGCCAAAAACCACGAACGCACACGCCCCTGCCCCTGCCCCTCCTCCCTCGCCTTTCAAGTTTGGAAAAATTGACTATATTTGCGGAAGTGAAGGAGAAAGGTCGTCTCTCTAGTATGAATACCTGGTCTTTGACTACTGTTTCCACAGTTTTCCTCGAGGCTCCAAGCTGGAAAGTTGTGAAATAGGCGATTTACCTCGGAAAACGACCGACTGTTTCTCTTCCAGACTCTTTTAAAAAGTTGGAGTGAGCAAAATACATACATAGACCTTCTCACTAAATGTTGCTCGGAGGTCCTAGCGAGCTTCTAAAAAAGTATCGGTTAGTTGCTTGAATCTAAGAC